GAATCACAAATGGCTCGACTGAACCACTTGATGACTACTTAAGTCAACACAAGAGTCAAAAGGTCACAACTAGAGCTATTTTTTGCCAAGAACTTATTTTTAACCATAAGGTTTTAGGTACATGTGTTGGTACCAAGTGAAGCATGTTTGAGACCCATATTTATTACTACTATTTTTGCCTAAACATAAAAGAAAACGGACTCAATCCCTTTAAGAAGTTTGTCAGGCCATCCATCATTGGGAAGAGCCACCCGGTTCACACAAAATCCACCTTTGGAAAGAATCGTGGCATTAAAAAAACCAAAGGCTTATTGTTCACTAAAATGAGAAAAAGAAGAAAACAAATCAAAAAGAAGTTACTAAAGCAAATAAGAAGTTATACTACTAAGAAAGACATACTAAAGAAGCTATGAAATAAACTATGGAAAGTAAAACAAATGAATATACAAACAGACTCTCAATCTCTGCGAAAAATAGCCTAATTCATGCTCTCTTCTCTCTCCTAAAAAAACCTAAACTTAACGCCTAAACCTAGCTTCTATGGCCTCGCCGACCACTGGCCAGCCTCCAATGAAGGTTGGTCAGGCATCTCTCTCACCCCCACAACCTCCACAGCCCCAAGCAATCCCTAACAACCCTAATCCAATCCAAACATACGCACATCTTCTAAAACCTAATGCCATTAATGCTCCCATGCAAACCCTAGCCACACTACCATTGAAACCAGTCCAATTTCTTCTTGGGACAGAAAGTGGAAGAAGCAAGAGGTGAAGCAATCAATTGTACAACATGGTCTTCAACTAGTAGTTCTTGGTAAATTTTCATATGGAAAGCCTATCATCAGTGAATTACGTAAAGTGATTCCCATTTAATGAGAGATTAAAAGCCTTGTTCTATTGGTTTGATTGAGGACATTCATGTGTTGATCAGACTTTCATTATTGGAAGATTATGTTCATCTTCTCTCAAAGCCAGCTTTTTACTTAAAGGCTCAGTCATATATATGGCAGATGCGATGCACAAAGTGGAACCCATGGTGGACACCTGAATAGGACACTCCCATTGCCATAGCTTAGATTAGCTTCCCAGAATGGCCTCCTAATTTCTTTGGTAAGGAGTGTGTATTCTCATTAGCTCGTGCAGATGGTAATCCATTACATGTGGACCTTGCTACTTAAAATGGAACTAGACCTAGTTGTGCAAAGGTGAAGGTGGAAGTTAACTTGTTAGCTAATTTTCCAAAACGTATTAAAATTGTTGAAGAAGCCGATGAATCTGGGCCAGAAGTATTTAAGTGGATAAAGCTAAAACATGACTGTATGCCTAAATATTGCGAGACTTGCAAGAAACAAGGACATGATGAGTTTGAATGCTAGGTAATACACCTTAAATTACATAAGAAATTTGAAGAAGGTGTTGATGATCAAGGTAAAGAGAGGGCAGTGGTGGTGAGTAGTGATGCAACTGGGACTGCTACGAACATCTCTAAGTTGTTGTCCAGTGGAATAGTTGTTGGGAAACCTATTCCCAACCAAGCCTAACAATAATGGATGCAAATAAGGAAGAATAGTTATCAAATGGATAATAATGGGTACATTATTGAAGAAGTTAATGACAAGAATGATGACTAGTTGAAAGGGAAGGCCAAGGAAGATGTAGTTACAACCAAAAATTCATTTGAACTACTGGAAACCAAAAATTAGACAAAACAATCTTAAGGATAACATATGGCAAGGATGAGGAAAATGGCAAGAATAAAAGACAAGAACAAGGCAAGGAACAATCCAAACAAGGGCAGGAGAAGGAGAACTTGAAGAAATTCGGAATTTCTAGCCCTAATCCTAAAAGGAGTGGGATTAGGGTTATTGGGAAGGAAGGTATCTCAAGTCCTAAAGAGGAAGGGAGTAAAAAGCTCCAAGAGTTGAAACGTGTAAAGCAAGAGGCAATTGACAAGGTTCTTGAAAAGGAAGGGACTAAATCCTACACTTATTGGGATTCAATTGCTAGCTACAAAAGGAGATCAAGAATTAGCTTAGCTAGTGCTACTAATCCTGGTGAGGAAAGGATTGATGAGAATGCTAGAAAAGAATCTACAATTTAGTGGGTGCATAGAAGGTTTGGTACAAGCAAGGAGGAGTTGAGGGAACTTAATGGAACAACAAATCGGTCGTGCCATGACAGTCCCTATCAAACATATGATGATGCTGGGAAACAGGGGGAAAATAATAAAGTTAATTCATGAAAGGCATTATGGAGTGATGAAGTTGAAGGTATGGAAGCTCAGCTGGACAAAAAAGCAACAGTAGTACACAAAGAAAAAGAGGAAAACAATCAGCCACAAGAAGCAGGTAGTGTTATGGCAGCTACAGTAAACCCTAATCCTAACTTCCTAGAAATTAGGGTTGAGCATAAATCGAGTGATAAGGTGAAGCAATCAGGTCTATCAATTGGAGATGATATAGGGGCATCTAAGGAAGCTGGAAAGCTAGGTAGTTCAGCTCAATCATCTGTAACCAAGAAAAAGAGCAATGGAACAGTAAACCCTAGAAAATCTGGGGAGAGTTTGGCTCTTATAGATGGTGTTTCAAGATATGTTCTGGAGAAGGGACTCAATGGGGATGCTCATATGAAGGTCAGGCATGATACAGTGGGGTCTGACCAAAAAAAGGCAATGGGAAGGGCAGTGATCCTAATGGAACAGTATTTTCTGGTTAGACGGATACAGTACTTCTTGGGTTGGGCAATGTTTATGAATTGCAATTCAAAAAGATACAGGTTGTTGTGTCTTCTATGGAGCAGAATAAGGTGAACGAAGAGCTGAATGAATACACTAAGGAACAATTTGAGCAAGCAATTATACCAAGATCAGTTGGGGAAGTAGAAGCAGTTCCAATGGCTTGTGAATCTGTCCCTGAACAGATAGTGCAACTGCAACTTAGTGTTCCATTGAAGACCCCTTTTCAATACTTACATAATCTAGTTACACACAATGTAGCACCAATAAAAGAAGATATATTGAGGCAGAATCATATGTAGGAAGAAGGAGATGATGAATTAATTGCAGGCAATTTCAAACAAGTGGCAAGGGAAGCTGATTTATCACTTACAGCTAATGCAAAGGTAGGAAAGAAGACTAAAAAAAATCAGAATAAAGAGCCACTACCACCTTCAAGAATAATGCCCAGGAGGACAGCATCTCAATCTAAATGATGATGATCAAGATGCTTATTTTGAACATAAGATCTGTAGAAATACAACAGGGCTTTCCTAGAGTGATCAACTGCATAGGGAGCACAATTTCTTTGTAATTGAATTGATGGAACTTTTTCTAAAGAAAAGATCCATTAATAGATATAGAAGGAGGTTGAACATGAAGACTGCCTAATCAAATATTAATGGACAAATATGGTTGTTCTTTGATGCCATGGTGGAATGGGAACTAGTGGAGTATTCTGAGCAATAAGTGACTGTGAAAGTATTACATAATGAATTGAGGTAGCACATAATAATGACATTTGTTTATGCAAAATGCTCAACAGTAGAGAGGCTGCAATTGTGGGATCATTTGTATTATTTAGCAAGTGATATGGAGTTGCCATGGTTGGTAGGAGGGGATTTTAATGTATTGCTACATGAAGATGAGAAGATAGGAGGACTTCCAGTACATCCTTCTGAGTGTGAGGACTTTGCCTTTTGTATCAACTCTTGTGGTTTGTTTGATCAAGGGTACAAAGGGAGTCCCTTTACATGGTGGAATGGGATACCTAATGCAAAGTGTATATTTCAAGAGGTTGGAAAGGATCTTGGTGAACCTGCCATTTCAAAATATGTTGCCAACCATTGAAGTGGAGCATCTTATTAGGACTGGATCGGATTATGTACCTTTACTCATGACATGTGGGGAGAAGATTGCCAATGTTGTAAAGCCATTTAGATTTTTGAATTTTTGGACAAAGCATGAAACATTCATAGATGTGGTAAGGCAGAATTGGGAAGAAGATTTCATAGGAGATCCATTTTTTATGTTCAAGCAGAAGCTCAAGAAGGTGAAGGCAGCTCTTTCAAAATGGAGTAGAGCAACATTTGGTGACATCTTCAAGCAATTTTCTATCTTGGAAGACATTCATAGGGTGAAGGAGATGTTGTCTGAAGAGGAGCCTACAATTGAGAATATGATTGTTCTTCAAAAAGCTCAATCAGAATTGAAGAAATATTTGAGTGTTGATGAGCAATATTGAAAGCAAAAAGCTGGGATGGTTTGGTTTGTTGAGGGATATAGGAACACAAGCTTCTTCCACAACCATGTCAATGGCAAGAGAAAGAATTTTCAATTGAAGAGGATACAAACTGGCAGTGGGATGTGGATTGAAGATCAAGATCAATTGGCTAATGCTGCAGTGGATTTCTATGAAAGGCAGTTACTAATGAAGGTGACTCTACTGATTTTTCATTGCTAGACAATGTACCTTCCATGGTTACATTGGAGCAGAATCTGGAGTTGAGTATATTTCCATCAATTGAGGAAGTTATGGCATCTATTTTTGAGCTTAGTGGGGAGAGTGCTAGTGGTCCTGGGAGGTGATTGGAGTGGACATGTACAACATGGTGCTACACTTCTTTGGAGGAGTTGAATTGCCTAAATATATCACTCACACTAATCTAGTTTTGCTGCCAAAGAAGACAAGAGTGGAGACTTTTTCTAACTTAAGACCAATTAGATTGAGTAACTTCATCAATAAGGTCTTGTCTAGGGTGTTACATAACAGATTGAAAAAATTCTTGCCTTACTTAATCTCTCCAAATAAATCTGGATTTGTAAAGGGGAGGAGTATATTTGAAAACATCTTACTGACTCAAGAGATTGTGACTGATATGAGATTGAGAGGCAAGCCAGCAAATGTGGTAATTAAACTAGATATGGAAAAGGCTTATGATAGAGTGTCATGGAAATATTTGCTACATGTACTCAACAAGATTGGATTCTCATAGCACTTCATCAACATGGTGTGGAATTGGGTGTCAAATAATTGGTATTTAGTGTTGGTGAATGGGCAATCTTCAGGGTTCTTCAAGTTTACAAGGGGTGTGAAGAAAGGGGATCCTTTATCTCCAGCCTTGTTCATATTGTCAGCTGAGCTACTATCTAGATTATTGAATAAGCTCTTTGAAGATAAATCCTTTATTGGATTTGGGATGCCTAAGTGGTCTGAACATCTGAACCATTTGGCTTATGATGATGACACCATAATCTTTGCTTCTGCTCATTGTCTATCATTGAGAAAAATTACGGTAGTGTTGGGGAAATATGAGAAGATATCCGGCCAAATGATCAGCAAACCCAAGAGCTCCTATTATATATACTCTAAGGTGGCACATGGTCTATTTCAGGCAGTAGGGGATAGTACTGGATTTCCAAGAGGTAAGTTTCCATTCACTTACCTTGGTTGTTCTATTTTCTACACTAGAAAGAGAAAATAGTACTATGAAGATCTCATCAAGAAAGTGGAGGCTAAAATGTGTTCATGCAAAGTCAAGTTACTCTCTTTTGGTGGAAAAGCAACACTCATTTCTAGTGTTTCGCATGCCAGTACATATGCTATCAGTACTTGATCCACCTAAAAACATTCTGGAACATCTTCATAAGCTCTTTGATAGATTCTTTTAAAGTACAAAGGAAGAAGGTAGGAGTAATCATTGGTCATCTTGGAAGAATCTTTGTCTCCCTAAAGAGGAGGGTGGCTAGGTTTTAGGTCCCTCAAAGATGTCTCAAGGGCATTGTTTGCTAAGCTATGGTGGAGATTCAGGACTACAAAGTCTTTGTGGTCCAATTTTATGTGGAACAAGTACTGCATGAAGGAGTTACCCACGGTTGTTCAATTTAGAAAGGGGTCAAAGGTTTGGAAGCAAATACTGAATGCTAGGGAGGAGGTTGAACATGATATTCTGTGGGAGATGAAGAGTGGGACAACTAACGTATGGCATGAAAATTGGACAGGACTGGGAGCACTATATCATGTATTACCTGAAGATTTTCCTATCAATGAGGACCTTCAAGAAGCAGCACAATTGAGGCAAGAAGAAGCATGGAATGATCAGTTGTTTGATCAAAGCTTCACTGAGGAAATTACTAATCATATTAGGTCCAGTGTGCAATATGAGGGCAGTGAGGACTACTGGGACGGACAATATTGGATGCCAATCCCCTCAGGCAAGTTTAGTGTTAGTAGTGCTTGGCAAATGCTAAGGCATAGAGCTGATACAAATCAAGAGTACAAGTTAATGTGGATTAAAGGTGTGCCATTCAAGATATCTTTCTTCTTGTAGAGATTGTGCAGGCAGAAAATTGCTACTGATGATATGTGGAGGAGGCAAGGGCAAATGGTGATGTTTAGATGTTGGTGTTGTCAACAGCCTCAAGAGGAAACCATAGAGTTCCTTTGATTCAATTGAACCAGTCCTATTGTATCAAAGGTCTAGAACCTATTTATGGGGGCAGCTGGAATTACAGTTCCTTTGATTCAATTGAAACAAGTCATAAGACATTGGTGGAATGTACAATATTGTCCAAATGTAGGCAAACATGGAGGTTCACTGTCCATAAATAGGGTGATTCATGAAGTAAATAGGACATTGCATCAATTGGAAAGAGTGAGATATGCTTGGCTATCTAATATCCCATTACTATGGCCAGATATGATCCAATTTTTTGAAAGTTACAAGCCTATTCTGATTACAAGAAGAGTAATATGGAAACTTCCATATCATGGTTGGTACAAGTGCAATACTAATGGGGCATCAAAGGACAATCTTGGTCCTAGTTCACTATGCTTTTGTGTGAGGAATGATGAGGGAGATTTGGTGTATACAAGGGCAGCGGACCTGGGAGAGACAACAAATGTAGTAGCTAAAGCAAAGGCAATTATGCAAGGATTGGAATATTATTTTGAGAATGATCTGCATCCTCTCATTTTAGAGACAAACTCATTGGCGATAAAGAAGGTGATTGGAGGGTAATGGGATCCTCCATGGTCAATTGCTCAAGAGGTGAAGAGAATTAAGGAGCTAGGGAACAACTTCAATGTGATATTTCAACATGTGTTTCGAGAGGGCAACTCCGTGACAGACTTTATGGCTAACATTATTTTTTTTCCAGGTGCATCTAAGTTTTATTCATTTTCTAAACTGCCTAGTGCAGGGAGGAGGTTGATTAATCTAGACAAATCTCAAACTCCTAACCTTAGGGTAAAGATAGCAAAGAAAAGAGCCCCAGAATAATGGCTTCACATTGCTTGCTTCTGCACTTACCTGCTTGCTTCATTAGGTTGGTATTAGACTATATGCTAGCAAGGTATTTTCTAGTGGTATTAGCATGGTCACGTGCTCATTTTGGAGGTGTTTTGATAGTGAACAGGAATTATGTGATAAGCAGGTTTGTGGATGGTGTAGCTTTACCTACTTCTGTTATGTCCAAATGTTAATGAACTATCTGAACATGTCCCTCTGTGTTTCTGTATATTGTTAAATCACTTCCCAGTATTATTAGCATGTTCTCATGCTTAATCTGGGGATGGTTTAGCAATGTTCAGAATGGTTACTACATCAAAGGTTCTGGCAGGAATTTCTATAAGCTTACAAAGTATTTCTTTGCACATTGCAAGTACTAGTGTCGCACCTCCTTTTTACCGCGCCCGCGGGGCGCTTGGGGAGTTTTCTCCAATTAAAGGATAGTCGAAACGGGATTTGTTTGTTTGTTTCAGAGTCGCCACCTGGGAATTTTAAGGCGTCCCAAGTCACCAATTTTAATCCCTGAATCGAGGAGAATATGACTCTGTTTATTATTCTGCGAACCAGAAATCCTGAGTAAGGAATTCTGTTAATCCGGAAGAAGGTGTTAGGCATTTCCGAATTCCGTGGTTCTAGCACGGTCGCTTAACTGTTTTTATTATTGGCTTAATTATCTTGATTTTACTAAATACGTTTTTATTGCATGATTTTACTACCGCTTTTTACTTATTGTTTACAATTATATGGACGAATTACGCGCACGTATATTCGTATTATATATTTTTTATAATTACCGGGGATTGTGCCACGCGTACGTGTACACAATAAAATTGTCCATGTTATAGTTTTTATAAAAAAATATATATTCGAAAATTAAAAATAAAATCAGGAACATCTTCACCCTTTTTATTTAGATAATGAACTGCACACCTCGGGTTATATGAAATTATTTTAACATCCTTGGAAAATATCCTTTTCTTAAATATTCGCTTGAAATTGCGCGTACGTATAATCCGAATTTGCTTTTAAAAATATAATCAGGGTACACGAACGCATCCCTAATTGCGTAAAATTTTTGTAATAATATTATGGATTTTCCACAAAATTGTTTAATATATCTACACATTTTTTATATGAAATTCCTGTAAAATTCATATTTTAGGGGATGCCTTTAAATTCTTAAAAGAATTCACAATTTATTAAGTATTGCCCGTTGACTATAATTTCCGAGTATTAATTATGTTCATCCCAAGACTATTCAAATTCAAAGTAAAATAAGAACATGATTAATACTATTCTTCACAAATACAACATATACATATACCAAAGGATGAATGCCATATGAAACTCACAAAAATAATTTATGACGGGAAGAAGTATTTTTGAACAATTTTTATTTATTTTAATTAGTGCAAATTCTACTTTTATTTACCATTGNCGAATTTGCTTTTAAAAATATAATCAGGGTACACGAACGCATCCCTAATTGCGTAAAATTTTTGTAATAATATTATGGATTTTCCACAAAATTGTTTAATATATCTACACATTTTTTATATGAAATTCCTGTAAAATTCATATTTTAGGGGATGCCTTTAAATTCTTAAAAGAATTCACAATTTATTAAGTATTGCCCGTTGACTATAATTTTCGAGTATTAATTATGTTCATCCACACTATTCAAATTCGAAGAAAAGAATAAAATATGATTTTTAGCAAATACAACATACATATGATGTCAAAGAATGAATTGCATATGAAACTAACAAAAATGATTTATGAAGGGAATAAATACTTTTTGAAGAATTTTTATTATTATTATTTAGTGCAAATTCTATTTCTAATTACCATTTGATATAAAGTGTTGCAATTTGTTTTTGTACATCTCATCTTATTTTTCATATACTCATTTTAATCTAATGGGCGAAATTATTTTGATTAATTTATTTACGATGGTAGATAAGCATCAAGTTGATAAGAAAGGGAATTATTATGCAAATCGATTCAATAATATTGCCTTACATGCAACCTGACTATATGTTGTAAACATCGTAACAAACTATATTGTATCACCTTTCGCCAATGGTTATACGCGCGTCTATTTAAAAAATACCACCNGTCTTGACTGGATTTGCATGCATTTGTGTTGTTTGGTGTTCTATACTGTACAACATCAGGGTGTTGCTCATTGGTATTAGCATGTTGTCATGCTCAATCTGGGGACATTCTAATATTATATGGACTAATTAACACAAGGCAGGTGGTGGTTGATTTCAAAAATGCACATGGAAAACACTGATGAACCGTAGGTCTATGCTGTGCACAACCATATACACGATCCTATTGTTCAATGCATTGTGCACTCCAACTTTGCAGAATAAGCTAAAGGATCAAAACTGAGATTCAATTGTATCAAAAGGTGTTCCATTATACATACATGAAGCTGCATCTGCTCCTTGGACACTTCATAATGAATTTATGTCTCAACTTATTATTTCATCTGATATTCTTTCTGCTAGTTTGTGTATTTTATTGTCATTTTTTAGTGGTACTAGTGTGTGAGATGATAATGTAGTATGCATGGTAAGTTTGATGATTGAGCAGATAATCTATCTCTGCCTTGAGTTGAAATGGAAAACCATAAGGAAGGGATCATTTGGGAGCAACATTGAAGATTGGAAGACTTTGTTTGCTTCAATTTTGTGGTGTAGATGTTTGAAATTCATTCTAGCCTATGGACTGTATGCCCTGGCTCCAGGTGAGAGCTTGATAGGTACTACTTGGTATTTACCACTAGCAATTGGATTCACATACACTGACAGGAGTAGGAAGCATTAAGCTTATTATGTTGTAATAGCTAGTTCATTAGACCTTTGCTTTTTTATCTTTCTAGTAGCTAGTAATTTCCTATAACTTGTATTTTATTTTGGGACATCTTGTAAGCTTTGAACCCAATTTGAGATTTTATTTATATATTAGCCACTAGATAGCCTACCTAGTGGTATATTTGCTAAAAAAATGAATATACAAATCGAAAGGAAATGAATATATACATAAGGGAACTGAATATATACATCAAATGAAAGGGAGGAATATATACATAACCAAAAAGAAAACAAAGATAAAAGAAAAATAGTAGAAGAGTTATTATAGGCCAATATCAATGTCAAATCAATTAAAATAGACCACCTCCCGAATAAAAATAAGCATTGTCCCCAATGCTTAACAAAAATAAGTACAAGGAAGGGTAGAGAGTTAAAAGAACTCCCTATGTGGTCTCAGTCTGCATGGCATCCACAGCACCCTCGGTGTCCTCTAACTGTATTTCATCATCACCTGGCTAAGGGACAACAGGGTTGTTGAGCATCTAGAGCATCTCCTCAGCGGTATAGGCAGTAGCGTCCGGCTCCTCAGACTGGTCGGTTGCTGCCTCTGATGCCTCAGGTACTGCTGGTGCTACCTGTGCTACTGGGATTGTTGGCTCCATAAGCAGGTCAAGTGGTAGATCTCCTGCAGATGCTATCTTGGCAATCTCTTTTCTCAACTTCTCCACTAACTTCTTCGATGCCTAAGACTTCCGCATCTTATTTGCTTGTTTTACCAACTCCTCAATGACTTCCCCATGTGCCACCAAAGTTTCCAAAATGATCTTCTGGTTGTCCAAAATCTTCTTCAATGTTTCTTCCACTAACAGAGGTACTTGTGGTGCTGCTGGGGTAGAAGACTGTGGTGCAACAGCACTGGATATGTCAGATAGCTTTGAAGTAGTTGCCTGCATCCAGTTGTTGAGACTCGCCAATGTCTGGGAGACTCGCAGCGTAGTATATGGATAAGTGGATGAGGTTGGCACTGATAATGAAGCTGATGGTCCAGAAGAAGAAGGTGGTGGCATGGCTGTTGTCCCAGTGGAAGGACCGACTGTTGTGGAAGGTATGGCATGTGTGGAAGGCTCAGCAGCTAAATCAGTAATTACTACCATTGTCTCGTCAAATTGTCCAGCGAAGGTAGTTGCGTTACCCTTGAACTTCAGGTTGTCACCA